TTATTCAGATACCCTTGTTAAAGCTGTTTTAACATAGTCAGTGTCCTTTTTTAAACTTTTCTATTTGAAAGACATTCCCATTTACAATTCCTCTGATTCTTGCACAGTTCCTTTGAGGCTTTTGTTTTCATCAAAAGAGTTTGTCCCTCTACATAACTTAGAACTTTTATGATGTAGTAATGTAAAATACAATTCAAAGTAGCTTATACTAACTCAGAAGAAATGTGTCCATCAGTGTCACTAAACAATTGAGGAGTAGGTGAAGCTTGATTCAGGAATTAAAATAGTGTAATGAGAGTCTAGTTTTTCTTCTCCATTTCATGGCTCTGCTCCCTAATGTTGTTTCCACTTAATTTACCTTAATTGTTCTAAGAAGAATGTCATAATATTACAGGGATGTATGCTTTTTCATTCATCTTAAACTGGAAGCAGTGAGTATTCTTTTTTTTTTTTAAAGAACTGTGAACAAAAAATTCTAGAGTTGCTTCATTGGCTCTTATTGGCCTTACTTGGACATAAATCCACCCTTGAATGGACCACTGAAGCCAGGGAGATGAGTTAAAACTAATCAGGCATCAGTCACAGAGCTAGGGAAATTCTACTGTGTGGAAACCACACAAATGGGAGACAGAGGCAGTTAATGAATGTTCAGTATACTCACCTTCTCAGGGTCTCTTCTTCCATCTGGCATCTCCTTACCTTTTTACCATTCCCCCACCAAAACCTCTCTTCTTACTCAAGTTTTCCATATATTGTAAAAAAAAAAAAAAAAAGCCTTTCCTTGACCCCAAACCCTCCTCTACCCCTTCTTATAAAGAACTACTGATAGATAGTCTACAATAATATTTCTACCACCCCACTGGAATCATTTTCTTTATGGTCTATGGACAATTTCATGTGGCCAAAGTCAGTGGATACTTTTGGCATGAGTTTCAGTGGTCTGACCCCTTGGGTCCAAGTATTGGCTGTAGCTGTCACTATCCGTATGACCTTGGCCAATTTTTTAACACAGTTTTTATTTCCTCATCTGTCAAATGAGGATAATGGCAATAATACAAAAACATGAAGAATATACTTGTCTCATTGGATTATCATGACGATTAAATGAATTAATACATGTAAAGTACTTAAAACTGTGCTTCAAATAGAGTCAGTATTCAAATATATGTCAGTCAAAATTTTTATTATCTCTTGTGACACCTATGACATTTCAAAATATTAACTATTTTCTAGGAAAGTACACTATCCTGATAGTAGTCCTGTCTCCTCAGCCTTTATCGTAGTGGCTCTTTGTTGTACTCATTCTTTATATGTTACATTTTCCATGACTCCGTCCCCAAACCTCTGATTGACTCAACCTATATGCCATACTAATGAGAATGTGTTTACATTTGTGGCTTCAATTTTTACTTCTTTGTAATGACTGCCAACCCCAGATTTCTGTCTCTTTCAAAATACATAGCTATGCTATAGATCCTTCAATCCAATTGACTAAAGTGATCGTTTTATGTGTATGACCCTCAAAACTTTTCACTGAATAAGTTCAAGACTGAACTAATTTTCTTCCCTATGCTCATCCTGTATTCTTTGGGTAGATAGGGAACAATACCACTATCTAACAGGCACCCAAACCAGAATTCAGGGAATCTATCTTAAACTCCTCTGTTTTTCCAATATTTGGTATAATGCCTGATATCTAGAGGATGATAAAGAAAATGGTGACTGGCTGTCTAGATGAAGGATAGGGATGCATGGAGGGGTAGATGGATTGTTAAGGGAGTCTGTAACCTACATATATATTTAGTTAAGTATTGTATATTGTTAATGTACAGTTGAAAGTCAAGGGTAAAAAGCATACCCTCAGTAGGTTGCACACATGAATGAACTATTATAACTTGCTGCATTACACACATATGACCACTTTTGACTGACAACCTTCTATTGTTGTGATTGAACAAGCATTCAAATGGTATGTTTGTCTGAAATAATAGTTCAGGCTATAAAAATTCTCTCCTTTTTCCACAATTAAAAAAAAAAACACCTTCTCACATAATAGAAAGAACTACTTTGTTTTTAATATCTAGAGATAACTATTTAAAAATATATACTCTTTCTAACCTATTGAAATAAACTATAGGGTGTACAAAATATTTACTCGGATGAATCTAAACAGCTTGCCATGTTTATGTGAGAACCACTAGGCATTCTTTAAAAATGCTAGCATAGTGAAATGTTACTAATTAAGGCTAATTGAAGAAAAGGCAAAGAGACCATTTTTAAGGAAAGTCAATTTTATTATTTTCAAATATATATAGTATATAACAATAGGCTACATGAAAGAAGTGTCAAGTATATATAATGAAGTAACCTACTATAAATTGAAAAATAGTTTGTAACTGGAATATCAATCATTTCTATGACCATTGAAAGTTAGTTTCAGAACACTTAAAGACATTTTTGTTTATATTTTAAACAGCTTTCTTGTATTAGCATTTACACTATTAATTTTATAAACCAAAGTTTAAATAAAAGGCTAATCAACAGCTCTAAAGCTTCAACTGTAATAGGTGTTCCACTACTCAGTTGAGCAACAACAATGAAACAAGATTAGAGAAAGAGTTAACTGAAATTGGGATATAATATATTCACTTGTTTTACAATGTATCACAGACACCCAAACAGAAATCAATCCAATAAAAGAATTAGTCTGTAATGAGTGCCACTTATTTTACTTATTCTTGGGACTAGATTTTTTTTAGTGGGGATCTCAGTCTACAGCCCAGACTGTAGTATAGTGGCATGAGGATGGTTAAGCAGATTCTCAATCTCCTGAACTCAAGCTATTCTTCTGCCTCAGCCTCCTGAGTAGCTGAGACTACAGGCACGTGCCACCACACTCAGCTAATTTGTTTTTGTAGAGATGAAATCCCATTATGTTGTCCAAGCTGATCTCAAACCCCTGGGCTCAAGTGAGTCTCCCAACTCAGCCTCCCAACATGCTGGGATTACAGGCATTAGCCAGCGTGCCCGGCTAGGAACCACATTCTTGATTTCATGTCACAATCATTAGTTTGTGGAGTCTATCTAGTCCTGATGATTATTTACAAAATATCTGAAGCACTCCTTTAACTCATAACTTCTCACTACTTTATGGAGGCCACAGGGTTGATTAAAAAGCACTTCACTTGCATAATAAAATAAGAAACATACTTTTACAGTACTGTGCTGTAAACTTTTGCTTTGTCCATCTATAGCCAATCTTTGCCATTCTCTCCCATGCTCCTCATTCTGGAAGGCTGACCCGTGTCATCATCAGGCTCCCATGCTTTCTGGTTTCCAGTTGATTTAGGCACTGAAGTGCCATAGTAGAAAATTGAAGAAATGGTGTAAAATGAGGTCAGGATGTTTATTCTCCTAATTCCTTCCCCATGAGGTTGCCACAGGCTGACTGTGTCCCTTGATAAAAGGTTACTGCTTTTCTCAAGGTGGTTTCTCATTACGATTCTCTGCTTCTGGCTACTTCTCCCTAGCCTCATTCCTTGGGCCTAGATGTAGTAACAGTTCCACTACTGCAAGTTTCCTGTATTATCTGTGATGGTTTTCTTAATCCTGATTATGTTGTGATTTGTTCCTTTATAGATAAATCTCTAAAATTATCCAGACAAGATCACAGAGGAACATGTATGTCAAGCTAAGATATTCCAGAAGACAGTGGAGAGACATTGAAGTTTTTAAAATGAGGGAGTGGGGGATCAGACCTACATAAATTATTAATCTTTGTACAGGGTAGAATTTACACTATATACAGAGACTGCAGGCAAGAAGATGATAGACAGTCTCTTGCAGACATGAAGGCCAAAAATAATAGAGCTTTGAAGTGGCAATAGAAAGAAGGAAGAAGTTGAATATGAGATAAATTTTTAACTAATTATATATGGTGTTGGGTGAAATTTAGGGAAGAATCTAGAATGTTGGTCAAGTTTTAAGAGATAAAAGTGAATGGTGGTTTTATTGCTTGTTTAGACACTTTCCATTTCATGAAACCAACTTAAAGAAATTGTTCAGAAAAAATAGTGTAGTTCTGTTTATTGTTAATATTATAAAATGAAGAATTTCAGAATAGAATCTATGTAGCATCTCCATATTAGATGCATAATTATATCAAAAATAGCCTCAATAGAGCCAGTCTTATAATCTGTACCCAGCATAAATTCTTAGATATTGATAAAAGAAGTTTCTAGTATACCTATCTACTTTTGGCTTCCCTCAGATGAAAACCCTTGAAAACGATTTTGAGAGCAAATGGTTCATTTAGGAGGCAAATAAATCAATAGAAGAGTGGGAAATTGAGACAGGTAAGGAAGGCAGGCAATAGAGGATGGTGCATTATCAAGCAAGCTACTGTTGAGGACCACTGGGGCTTTATCTCATTGGGGAAAATTTGGGACACTTATAAAACACATGCCTCAAAGCAAAGGAGCTAGAATATCCATACCCCAATTTCTACCATTAGTCATTGCTTACAGACCGTATCTAGGGAGTGGCAGAGAGGAGTCAATTCCCTCGAGTATTTAACCTGCCATTTAGATGGCAAAGCAAACTCTTGTGGCTACAGAAAGCCTTCAGGCAATGAAATACCAATACTGGCACTGGAAATCAGGCTGCAGAGCACTTAAGTGGTAAGAATGAAGGGATTTGTGCACTCTGCTATAGTATAATAACCTTTTAGCAGATTAATCATACTTGGTTCATACGGATCAAGAGTTAAAAATCTTACATGTATGCCGATGTTCTATGTCACTTTCATGAAGATAATTTAGCAGAAACTAATGTTTGCCATAAAAAGCAAGAAATCCTATTGTTTATCACCCTAGACATAACACAATTAACAATTTTTTAATGGGCAATATAAATGTAAAATAATGTTTAGATGTTAAATATAAAATGCCTTCTCCAGACTAGCATTTACTACTATATGTTCATTTTTCCTTTTATTCCAGTTGAAAGAATTCAGAATCAGTGGGATGAAGTCCAGGAACACCTTCAGAACCGGAGGCAACAGTTGAATGAAATGTTAAAGGATTCAACACAATGGCTGGAAGCTAAGGAGGAAGCTGAGCAAGTCTTAGGACAGGCCAGAGCCAAGCTTGAGTTATGGAAGGAGGGACCCTACACAATGGATGCGATCCAAAAGAAAATCACAGAAACCAAGGTTAGTATCAAAGACATCTTCTTAAACAAAACACTGGTTATATGGAAAAAATTATACCATGGATTGAAATTTAATAGTTTTGCTCATGCCTGTAATTCCAGCATGTTGGGAGGTCGAGGCAGAAGTGTTGCTTGAGCCCAGGACTTGAAGACCAGTCTAAGCAACATAGCAAAACCTCATCTCTACAAAAAAATCAAAAAATTATCCAGACATGGTGGCATGTACCTGTAGTCCCAGACACTTAGGAGACTGAGGCAGAAGGATTGCCTGAGCCCAGGAGGGTGAGGTGACAGTGAGCCCTGAGCATGCCTCTACACTCCAGCCTGGGTGACAGAGTGAGACCCCTAACTCAAAAAAAATTAATCATGTTTAATGTAAATTTATTAAAGGAAATTAATATTTAAACCAAAGTGAATAGTAGACTTTTGAGTCAAGGTAAAGATTAGAGGAAAATTGATGACCATTATCAATCATAAAATTATTTTTAATAATCTGGATATAGTGGGCTGGTTTTTATATTGCACCATCTTTTAAGATCACTTGAAAGTTGATATACATACCTATAGAGTAGCATTATGTCAAACATTTGGGCTTAATTCCTTCTTGGGAAAAGTAACAGATCTTCTCTTTCTTACCTTCTCTGAAGGCCCTGAATCAAGAAGTAATAGGGTGGGTATAAGAATCAGGCAGGAATAAGAAGTACTCTCGCTTTCTCCTCCTATTATCTGCCTTCCAGTCTAACTCATTTTTCTCTTCTTTCTCTTCCTTGTCTTTTTGCTCCTTTGCTATACCATAACTTAATAAAATATATGTCTGCTTAATAGTCTAGAATTTCTCAGGATAAAATAAGAAACAGGAAATAAAATTTGCTTAATAACTATGTTTTAGTAAACACCATGCATTTAATATTTTCAAACCTAGTATGTATGGGTCAGTTTGGAAAGACTTTAAATGCTATACAATGATTACTCTTTAGGGGATATTAAGCAGAGAAGTAACGTGGTAAGAAGTTGATCAGATTAAGCACTTGATCAAAACCCTCTGCGGGTTTCTTTTTTATCTGATAGAAAAGGCCTTTTGTAAATAAGTACCTAAGTCTCAAATTGATTATACCATCTAAGAAGAAAGCCATATTGTTTTTCTAGATGAAATTCTAAATTATTAAGATCATACTGTGCTATAAGCTATAGTAAGAAATTAACTCTGAAATCTCAATAACCTAATACAATAAAGACGAATTTCTTGGTGATAGCACAGTCCAATGGAGATTGACAAGCCCTTCTTAGGAGCTCTTCCCCAAATGGTCACTTGGGAATCCAGGCTTTTCCAATTTTGTGGCACTATCATTTTAAACACATGGCTGCCCAAGGCTATTACAGGAAAGGAAGAGAGCATGCAGTCAGTCAATCCATGGGATTTTATGGCCAGACCTGGAAATTATGTATATCACTTCCACCACATCTCATGGAAGAGAACTTGTTCCCAGTTAATTTCAGAAAGAGTAAATAGAATTAGTGAACTCTTAATCCTTCTCTATCATAACCACTTTAACAATGGACCTGAGGCTGGCACAGTGGCTCAAACCTGTAATCTCATGACTTTGGGAGACTGAGGCAAGAGGATTGCCTGAGCCCACAGGTTCGAGAACAGCCTGTGCAACCTGGCGAGACCTCATCTCTACAGTACAAATCAAAAAAAAATTAGCCGGGCATGGTAGCACGTGCCTATAGTTACAGCTACTCAGAAGGCTGAGGCAGAAGGATTGCCTGAGCCTAGCAGGTTGAGGATGTGGTGGCCTTGAGCATGCCACTGCACTCCAGTCTGGATGACAGAGTGAGACTCCAACTCAAAAAAACAAAAACAAAAACAATGAACCTGAGCTGCAATAGGGGCAAGATTTTCATCTAAATGACAAGAGTATTAGAAAGCCATCTAGGATTTTACAGTCTTTTTATTAGCTATGTTGGAGGTAAAAATCTAGTTAGATAAAAATTCTTTCATAAGATACACGTTACCACTAATAATTTTTTCAATGGATAAGTTTAGGCGAATTTGGAATTTCTAATTATCTTTTTCCTAATTTATCGTCTAACTATGTAAGCTATGGAATCCATGTGGTTATTATTAAAGGCTTTGGTCATATTCATAATGTACTTGGCATTTCCTCACCATAAACTTAGGATACCATAAATCTAACAGATTATAAAGCAAAGTGGTTAACTGGTAAGGTATTAGCAGAAAAAGGAATTTGGACTGGATCCTTCAGTTAAATGAGAAGGAGGAGAGATGAGAGGCATGTACTGATAAATTTGATTAGGGCAAGAGGACTCTGGAAGTTGGCAAACAAGAAATAAATTTAACTTAAAAGTATCCTAAAGTGATGACAAGAATGATTAGAATTTAATAGCTCATAGAAGAGCAAGGAGCTTTAAATAAGAGGCAAGACTATCTGCGAAGGAAATATGAAAAAAGAAAACAAAACAATTGCGTTGTCAAAACACACATAGTGTTTTAAACACATAAAATAAAAATAGAATTGTATTATAATTGCTGCCATTATCAAATTTTCAAATTAAAACATACTTTTGAATGTTCAGCCAAAAACTACATCATGAAAATGACTCAGCCATTATCTATAGAAGCTGATATTTTTGTTTGTGTTTTATGTCTAGGAATTTGATTATATATATTTTGGCACATTCAGTGTAAGTTTCTAATTTAGATAAGTATGACCAAAGTTGTACTTTTTTCACCTGATTCCTGAGTGATGTTTGCTTAAACTAAAGTAATACTAATGTTAATAGTAACTAACATTTAGGGAGTACTTGCTATTGTCAAAAACTATGCTAGTCACTTTACATATATTGGTTTATTTCATTGTCTCAAAAACCCCTCTTTGGAAAGTAATCTGGGCAACCCCTTTGGGTCCCCTCCCTCTATAGGAGCTTTCCTGTCCTTTCAAATCCTGCTTAAAAAAAAAAAAAAGTAAAGTAATCTCTTTGTTCCTAATTTGCAGGTAAGAAAACTGGGGTCTAGAGAAGTTCAATAATTTATTTTAAAAATAATAAAATCATGATGTGAATGTGTAGCAATTCCTCTTGTAGATGACCTCACAGATTTACTCTTTTCCACCATGAAGATCTGAAAGAGATCCATGCAGTTATTAATTGTCAAATAAAATTAAATTTTTTTACTGATAAGCTAACAGGTAGAAAAAGAAAGCTATAAAATAGTATACTGGAGAAAACTTTTCATATTATGTTCTACTATGAAAAACTAAAAAGGTAATTGTAAGCCAGGCTCGGTGGCTCAGCCTGTAATCCCATACCTTTGGGAGGCTGAGGTGAGTAGATTGCCTGAGCCCACGGGTTCAAGACCCGCCTGGGCAGCGAGACCTCATCTCTACAATAAATCAAAAAATCAGCCAGGCATGGTAGTGCGCACCTATAGTTCCGGCTA